CCCTCGACTATATTTTCTTTTCTCAAAATTTGAAAGAATGCTTCAGCGCACAAAAATTTGGATCAAACGACGAGGTCGTGACGAAAGCTGAAGCGTATATTAAAGCGAGTGAACCAAGTTGTTTTTAAAGAAGGCAACGCAATCATAGCGGAGCATTGCATTGACTATGTCATTCTTAAAGTGGACTATGTTGGCAATTAAAGTCGTATTTAATACCAGGAATATATATCTTATTTAATCGCAGGAATTATTGATCGATAGATTATTTCTTATGTACCAATAAAGTAGAAATAAAGTTTTCAGTTCAAAGAAACGAAAAGGCCTCTTGCTTCTCCTCGTTTATGAGAAGAGGATATCTTTGTCATTTCCATCCCGGGAAAACCAATTCAAATATTTCTAAATACTGCCTAATAAGAGGTCCGACATAACTGCGCATCAAGTAATTCATCTTTATGGACGTGCAACTGAGGTGCAAATAAAACTCTGCATTGGTTTTATGATCAAATGCATAAATTTTACTCAAAGAAGCCATTGATTCAAAAGCGCAGGCATTTATATGCTCACACTATTTTTCAGCGAAGGAGAGCAACACGTTGACGACGATGCACGCCCAAGATGTCTTTCAACATCTCTCGATGAACATCACATCAAGAATGCCAAGGATTTACTTTTCAAATATTAGCGAGACCATGTTCTTCTCAAGTCGAGATAATTGAGAGTGAAGAGATCACCTCGCTTGCAAATACGTCTCACAAGAGCTTGTACTTGCTTTTACTGCAAGTTATTTCTTCCAAATACTTTCATTTCAAATTGTACAGTAATCGCCCCCATCCCCGTTGCTTTAGTTCCGTTTAGCATCTGATTGATTCTCGAAACTCAAAGAACAGTTCCGTTAACAGCGTTTCAACTTGTGTGGAAAGTGTAAACTAAAATGGAAAGACAAGCTTCCCTAGAAGATGCTTAGTAAACGAGTTTGTCCCATTAAGACATTGACCCGAAATTCGATGCAAATGCCCAGGAGCTAAGCTTTTGTCAAATTACGAGAACAAACAAAAAATAAAAAAAAAGAACCCATTCGCTCGGATAAAATCGCAAACGTGAAATGGAAAAGTGTTAGTGCCTTTTGTACGCAAATAATCCAAGATTTATAAAATCATTTCATCCACCAAAGCCTGACACGTTTTTCCGAACAACGAATTGTAAATGCAATGGGCTCTCGGAGGAAATGCATCTTATACAAATGAGGACCAATAAAAAGCCTGAGGCATAATTCTCTCTGTAATAGGGAAAGCCCTCTCAATGTCTTTGCAACACAATTACGGAATGAATTTTTCTTAAGTCTCTCTGCTGTCAGATTGCATCCTTCAAAGTCTGCCATAGTTAGTGGAAATGATTACTTTTCACGTCTGCACCGTACTTTGCACAGCCAAGCAACAAAGTTTCCAAATGAACGCAACTTTCTGTAATGGAAACGTAATGAAACTCTCCTCAGAGATTAACTTAGTCTTACTTAAAATTATTATCCACTTTGAACACTTTTTAAATTTCATTTTAATGTTTTGCCTAAAACTTGCACGCAGCACACGCGCCTACAACCGTTCATTTATTTTACATTTCTGATGATTTTTTTTATTTATTTTTTTTTATTCAAATCTCTAGACATTTTTGGCTTTTTCCAAATACTGACTCCCGGTTCAATGCATACCTTAGCATGCAGTCAGTTTTTTGCCTCTTGTCTGCATAACTTTTATTTATTTATTTATTTTTTTTTCGTTGTGTAACATTATTATGACTGCTTTTTTTTTTTTTTTGGTTTTTTCTTTTTCTTTCTCCTACTTTTCTTTGAAATTTATTTTACAACAGAGTCTTCTTTCTCTAATGGTCGGTACATCATCATAAATGCTACGGTTTTTCATCATCGCTATCATCACCGTTTTACAGTTAAAACGTGTTAACATTTTTTGTTTTTTTGTTTTCTTTAATGGAATGAGAAACAAAGGCATGCAGGATAAGCAAAAGTGTCCCTTGACATTTAAATATCTTAAAAGAAATTCTACACCTTTTCCGTCGTTATTTTTCATCAAAGTCTGTCTGTTGACCTTTCACTTGAGAAAGGTGTGAGAAATTTCAAATCTTTTCGCCCACTTTTTGTTTTTTTTCTCTTTTCATTAAATTTTTTTTTTTTTTTTGTTTTCCTTAATTTTTTCCTCTTAAGTAGCAATAAAATTTAAATATTCGCCTCCAGAGAAAACTTCCTTGACTTGTACAATACTTTTGTTTTTCTTATTGTTGTTGCTTTTGTTTTTCAGCATAAAAAAATCATCATAATGAAATTGATGAATAATTCATTTCTGACTTGAAATAAGAAATCTAACATAAATGAAATTTATGTTAAAACAATTGTGGCGAATAACATATTTGAGTGAATCTGTGGATGATAAGTATCTCTTCTAGAAAAACACTTAAAATTTTCTTCTTCTTCTTCTTCATATTTCATCCATTTCATAGTTTTTCCCTAAATTTGTGTACCTCCCTGCGTGCGTATCAAGTATAAGGGTGTATTACGATTGTTTTATCGATAGCTAGCAGTATCGGTCCATCCGCTCATACGCCTGCCCAAGGTGTTTTTACTACGCCCATGGTCGCGAAAATACTGAACTGAACTGACAGCCAAACCAAAGTTGAATGAAACTTGACCACGCCTACAATTCGAGAAAGCTATAACCTCTTTTTCTATATTACACTACACGCCGCAATCATGCGGGAAATGTGCGGGTGAACCACAGTTTGAATATTTGCGTGTGACCAGGGACTTCTCAGATACACATGATATCTTTTTTAACTATCAACAATAGGATCATATTAGTTCATTAGCGTTCATGAGTCGGTTGAATAGCAAAGTCAATGCAAAAAAAAAAAAAAATTAAAACGACGACGCCTTTTATCATAAGAAAGCATTACATCTTTCATCAGGCATTCAACAAATAAAACCGCATTAATTTGAATATACGTAACTTATTTGAAATTGAATTCTCTTTCCATATTTGACATATAATTGACGCGCATATGTATATAAATATTGATGAATATCTTTTATGCATGTTGCTGCAAGGTGATAAAATTACGTTATAGAATTGTGCATAGAGGCAATAATATGAAAACTTCGTAACGAGTACTACAGTATGCTTAAGTAAATTGCATCTGATAGAATATTGATATTGAAAGAGGATTCTAAAAACAGCTAACGAATGTTGATAAAGAACTCGAAAAACATTAACATAGTAAATCTATCGAAGATGGAAGCGAGCTTCCAAGTGTGAGAACAAAATCAAGCAAGTTTCCAAGTCAAGCGAAAAATATCCTTGCTAAGTGAAAGCGTCTTGGAACACAATTGCGAGCGAGCAGAGCAGAGTACAGCACAAGACCGAACGAACATGAAAAAAACTTTTAATCTTTGCCTCTTTTTTTGGGTAATTAAAATATTCAAAAGCTAACTGTTAACTGTCATGGTTAAGCATTCTAACAATGTGAGCCCTTTCGAAATCATCAATTTCTCTTCAAGAGTGCTGAAATTGTTGACCGCACAATCTAACCCATAGCAATTTTGCCTTAACTCACTTTTCAAAAAACAATTAAAAATATGTTAAACAACTAAACTTAAAACCAAAAAAAAAAAATAAATAAAAATAAATAAATAAATAAATAAAAAAAAAAAATTATAATAAATATAATAAATAAATTTAAAGTTCAACTTGCCCACATTCCCACTTACTCTTGCCATCTTTGTCCCTCACTCATTGCTTCATTTCCTTTGCTTGTCTTTTTGTCTCTTTCGCAACATATGCCAAAAATTATTTTGAACTCATTGTTAGCAAAATTTTATTAGAAAGACGACGTCTAGCTGCTTCTCCTTTCGATTCCTGCTCTTGCGTGCCTCACTGCTGGCCTAAGCATTTAAACATATTGTAACTGTAAAGCATAACTTTATCTTTCACGTCATTAAATTCATAAATATCATGCCGTAACGCAGTGGCATGTCACAAAAGTTAAGTGCAACTTGTACTGAAGACAATCTAAGAGAATAACTCTGAAGAAAGAAAAGTTTTTCATACTTTTTTCTTCTTCTTACTTTGTTTGAGAGAAGAAAAAAAAAACTTGAAATTATTTTAAAAAAAAATAAATTTCTTTTCTCCTTATTTTTTTTTATTTTCTGTAAATTGCATTAAAACACAAGAGACGGTCGGCCACTGTCATAGGGTTTAGTAATAAGTAGGGAAAAGTGAGGATATTAGGAAGAAACCCAACAAAAACAAAAAAAAAAAAAAAAAAAAATTATAATAACGAAAACAAGACAAAGAAATTACATTAAATTTGCAGCGAGACAAAAGGCAAATGAATGACAATACATACAACAACGGCGGCAATGACAAACGGAAAGAGAAGCTACAAGGAAACAAAATCACATTACATTGGCTGGCTATCGTTACCCTATTCACAATTCACAATTACAGCTACGGCCAAATAAAGGACAACAATATTATTAAACTCTTGTGCTCTTGTTTTATCGACACACACACACACACACACACTCTTCCTTCTCACTTTTCATTGCTCCCTCGTGCTCGTGCTGTGTTCACTTGAATATAATTTCTTAGTTAAACAAAGCAATTAGAGTTATTCCTTTTGCCTTTATGGCAACTTTTCAACATCCTTATGAAATGCGAAAGTAAACAATTCATTAATAATGTCTCCCTTTACTTAATCTTTCGTTTCAGGTTTCATCTGATTTTGATTCAAAACATCATCGCGCTCTGCTCGTCGAGATAATAATAAATATTAGTTTGAGTCTTTTTTTTTTTTAACTGAGAAGCCTTTTTTCTTCTCTCTCTCTCTCTCTCTATCTATCTATCTATCTTTGTCTATCGCTCTCTCTCTCTATCTTTCTATATCTCTCTCTCTCTCTCTATCTCTCTCGCTATATATATATATATATATATATATATATATATATATATCTCTGTTTCTGTAATAACTACCCGCCTGCTCATAAAATCGCCGGATATAATGGCGCGTACGAAAATCATTTTGAAAATATTATTCTCGTTATGCGTGTGGTCTTTCGTTATTATCGGTCTCTTTAAGATGCACGGCTCGAATATCGTGCCTCAGGAATACGCTTCGGTGCCATTAAGCGGTCGTATACTGCTGCAGAAGGATATGCTGCGTTTTATGGAGACGCCTTCAACAACAACGGATCGTTTTGATCCTTCCGAAATCTTGGTAGACAATCGAACCGGTAAGTAGAAGTTTTGATTTTTAATTTTTTCTCTCTTTTTTATTTTTTTTCTTTTGTTCCTTAATCTTACACCATTGCTTACACCATGTCCATGTCCATAGCAAACATTCTCATATATAAACATTCGTACAAGATATTCGATTTTATATGGCAGTCAGTGAATGAGTGATAGGCGAATAGGGGGGTCGATGAAAAATTTGATTGATCGAATGTCTGTCAGCGAATGAAATGCAGCGAAGCATTCTGAGGCAAGATTGACACTCCCTGTTATCGATGTGTTCATATCTATGCTTGGATTATGGAACCTCGTCAAAGGGTAGATTGTAATCTCTACTGCCAAATTTTATCCAGATTGAAGGAAGAAGTAAGCATTTCAATAGAAAGAGAATTGTCGGCAATCAACCACAAATCACTTACACTTTTTATTAGTCGACCAAAAACCTATCCAGGAGATCATAATACGTACGTGATGTAGCTCAGACTTTATCTCGCCATTTATCAGTTTCGACATTAGAAGCTGATTTGAAAGACAGCCTGCAAAAGCCAGTTGAATCAATTTTTCAGCCAAACATTTCGAAAATTTTGGAGAAAGAAAGATCAAGAGAAAGTTCCAACTCACCTTACTCACCTTAATAGGAATTACTTCTGAACAAAAGAAAAGTATATTAAAAAATAGCAAAACAGTCTCTCAATACTTTTTCCGGCACTTACTAACCTTTCGCACTAAGTAAGTTCGTAGGATGATAGGACATTTAGATAATATCAGGCTTCGAATAAAATGTAAAAATTCAAAACAATTCACAACATTCTGACCATTATTTAAAATTTATTGCAATTATTTATTTGTTTTATTTGTTTTATTAAATTTTTTTTTTTTTTTTTTTGTTGTTGTTTTGTTTCATTTAATCTGTGTAATGATTAATTGTCCTTGTTCCTTTATTCACTCTTTTTGTTTTTTTTTTTTTTGTTTTCTCTATTAGCTATGGATGACGAGCAATTGGTACGTGACGTTGAATCGCGTATACCCTCATTGCCAATTGCTTACTGGAGTAAAAATAAGAATTTTCTTCAACAAAAATCTTCCAATTGTGCCAAATATCCGTCAATATTTGAACTGGAATTCAATAACATCTATTGGCAGACGATGCGTACTACTAACGGGACTTTTCAATTATTCGGTGCCTACTATGATATACGCAAGAATTCTTTACTCGGACCAACCGTACGCATACTCGGTATGATTGATCGCATCGAACCGAAAGTGAAGACGTTCTGTCAATTTTGGTTCGATGGTCAGAAGGAGCCATTTATTGTTAAAACCTATGAATACAAATACATTTGGTATAATAAATGGGGCAATTATAAGCAGGGCATCTATCAACCGTATTTGATAGCTTGCCAAATACCTAAACCATTTCACGGCGTGGTACCCAGCTCAGTGTCTATGGTTGAGAAGCAATGCGATACCGCCACGAACAATTTGCGTGTGATATACAATCGTCCGCCGGACGATCATAAGAAAGGTTTTGCTGTATGCGTGAAAGGTTTAGATTTTCTCTATGACGATCTATCCGTACGATTTATCGAATGGATAGAAATGTTGAATATTTTGGGTGCCGACAAAATTTACTTCTACAATCTACAAGTACATCCCAATATTAGTAAGGTCTTGCAGCATTACGAGCAAGAGGGTAAAGTTCATGTTAGCCCGTTAACTTTACCTGGCGGTCAACCGAATGTACCCGGTTTTCAGCATTTATATTTAACCAAGAAGACCAATCACAAACGACAAAATGAAGTAATACCGTATAATGATTGCCTTTACAAGAATTTGTATTTATACGATTACATAGCGCTGCTGGACGTAGATGAAGTAATTATGCCGAAAGGTAACTTTGTCCTATGGTCTGAATTGATGACCAAAGTAATACCCGAATCGCTTAAGTTTCGACCTGAAGGCTATCATAGCTACAATTTCCGTAACGTTTACTTTCTGGATGATCAACAACACGAGCATGGCTGGCACAAAGGTATACCCAAGTATATGCATATGCTGCAGCATGTACATCGAGCCAAAAACTACACTAAGCCTAATCAGTATGTAAAATGTTTTCATAATCCCGAAAGGGTATTGACGTTACATAATCATTTCCCCTTGGCTTGTTTGGGTGGAGTTTGCAAATCGTATCCCGTCGATACGGAAGATGCCCATCTGCAGCATTACCGAGCTGATTGTGTGAATACTTTGAAAAAGTCATGTGAAGAATATCGCGAGCATTCGGTCGAGGATAAAACTATATGGAAATATAAGGATGAGCTAGTACGACGCACCCTAAAGACTCTTGAGACTTTAGGTTTCTTTAGACGTAATTCGGGAAACTCATTTGGTAGCGGCTACGGTTCAACAACGCACTCGACAGAACGGTGATTTCCTACATTGTGGTGGTCGGAGACACCATCCTGGTTGGGCATTGTTAATAGTTTAGCAAATAGGGGTCTAGAGGGTTTAACCGGTCGTAGTAACATTCAAAATAATTGGGGCAGCAGTAGCAGTAGCAGTAGCAGTAGTAGTAGTAGTAGTAGCAGTAGCAGTAGCAGTAACAGTAGAAGCAGCAGCAGCAGCAGTAGTAGTAGTGGTAGCATTAGCAGTAGCATCAGTAGTAGTGATCGAGTTATTTTATACCTAAATACTGGTAGTAAAGAAACCATAGACTCTGTCGATAATTATAACAAAGAGGCAACAACACAGAGTCCTGAGATTACCCAAGAGACTACCGCCAATAGTTTTAAGAGACGATAGTATTTTATTTAAATTGCTGTTTTTCCGCTTCTTTTTTTTTCTAGTACAGAATTTAAGTGAAAAACAAGGTTCAAAACCTAAGTAAAAATAATCGTGATTTTTCTTCTATGTACATATTTGAATAACGAAAAAAAAAAACAAAGGACATGAACTAGAAAATTATTGAAGTAATTGTGAAAATTTGAGGTTGAAAAAAAAAGAAAGAAAAACTTAGGTTAAATTTGAAAAATTTGATTTAAAAAAAAGAAGAAAAAATTGAATTCATTTATTTTTTGTATAAAAGCTTATTTATATATATTTATTTTAATATTTATACTTTCTCTTCTCTATATAAATTGTTAAATATGGATTGATTTGATTATCTTTGATATAAAATTTTTGAAATTTTTTTTTTTTTTTTTTTTTAAGGAAATAGAAAGTGCATCCGTTGGATAATTGATTGTTTTGAAAAATAAAAAAATAAATAAACACCAAGCCTTTAGTTATATAAGTTGAAAAATCATAGGTAACCTTTGCCTCCGAATATGACTCAACGTTTTCGGAAATTGCTTTTCATAATTAAATCAAAATAGAGTCAGTTTGCCGCATTTCACGCAATTTAACACTTGCTAATGGACTCGCTTTTCTTTGCTTAATAGAAGACGCTAGGCAAGCGAGACGCAACGCATTCTTCCAATTTACGGTCAATTTACAACTCAACAGAGGTTTGTTGGCTTTTCTTGGAAAAGTTATTTCATGAAGATTTTCTCAATTACATTGTCTATAATATATTTAAAGTCATCAGCGTCCATGTTTCCTTTCGAATTCCTCCATATTTTCGAAATCCTTTTCAAGCAACGCTTAATAGGGCTTTTAATGCATCTAATGCATATTTATCATCTTAAATGCTTCTTTTTGTTTGAAAAATTATTTAAAAGCTACTTAATTATCTTTTTTAATTTGAACTACTTAAAAATATACTGTCAAAAAAGTATCGGGAATTCGTATGGAACATGTTATTATATATATATATATATATATATATATATTATTTATGTGTTTATACATATATAAATATACAAATATTTTTTCAAAAAAATATTTGCCCTTCAATGCTTCGTAATGCTTAATTAAAAATAAGACGTTGTATATAAATTTTGCTCGTCCAAGTCCATGATTATTTAAGAAACAAATCATCGTAAACTTCATATTTGAAGAAGAATTTTAACTGCTTTTCGATGCCAATTCACTATAAAACTTCTGCCCCTGTTTTGCTCTACGTACTATAATTAGGCTTAGGATTAGACGGATTAGAAATGAACTCCAAGAAGGTTGAACTTAGCGGTTTTTTTCCATTAATCGTTAACCTTTTGACATTTAAGAAAGAGAACTATAATGCCTTTTGAATTATTGAACTCATGAGACATGTCAACGGGTGTTCTGAGTTAATCTTTCATAAATTTCAATAGCAGCAATATTCCAAAAGCCGTTGCTTTGATTTTCTCAATAGTTTCCATATTGGTTGACGTCGATAAAGCGATTAGAGGGAGACAGAGTTTTTAAGTACTTTAAGTGGTCCTACTTGTGAATGCATTGCGCTAAGGATGCTTCCGTAGTTGTTAAGCAAAAATAGCGTTATTCGCCTAGGCCTTCTCTAATATATCATCACTCTTTTCTTTTTTTCTTTGTATCTTTTCGACGAAATTGTATTGAACTCTTGATATGACATTTTTATCTGTGGCAGAAGGATAAAAACCGAGCTCGAGCATGACTAACCTAAACAATTCAATTGAACAATTCAATAGCAGAGAAGAGAAATATGTTTTTAATAGAAATTTACAGTGGTACGAGCTCAATAACTAAACTTTTCGTAAAATTGTTTCCTAAGAATGAATTATTGCTGGTATGTTTGTGACAGAAGTTGCGTACTAAACTTGAAATTTATTTATTTTAATTATTTTTCTTTTTCTTATAAGTATTTAATTAATAAAAACGTATTCGATATTGAAAAAAGCAACTTTTTTATTATAACTTTTTTTTTTTTTTTTCAAAGTTTAAAGAAAAATATCTAATTTTAAAAACAACTTGAAAAAAAAAAAAAATTAAATTAACCTAAATGTAATATACGTATATATACACTTACGTACATATATATATATATATATATGTACATATCTATATATATATATACATAAAAAACGTGCCTTCTAAATGAAAAGAATTTTACTTCATTATTATTATCACTAAAACTATATAAGATTTTTGTAACCATAAAGGGTAAATATTTATTATAATAACTCGATATTTTCAAGCGCAATTCTATTCTATGCTAGTATTATACACTGATATATATATGCAGCTACG